ACTTATCGATAGTTTTCAGTTCAAAATCATTGCCTTTGTACTGTATGCGACAATAGTTAGCCAGTTCTTCGATTGCTTGTTCGCTGTAGTCGAGTTCTACTACAGTTTCTTTGAGTAACGTTGTGTAAAAACCTTTTTCTAGATCAGTTTTCAATGCAGATTCAGAAAAATGTAGTTCGAACCTTCTATCTTGCAATATAACCTCAAAAAGTCAATTTCATCATAGACGATGGCTTTTTGTATTTTAAAGTCCTATCAGTAAGTTGAGTCTTTTTCCATGAAGAAATGGTTTGGGCAGGCTCGAAAGGCGTTATTCGTGATTAGCTCGTTAAGCTGAATTCGAATATGTATAAGAAAGTCAAAAGTAACTTCCACTGTAAGTTTGCATTAGCTGCACCTTATTATCGGTTACATGTAGCCATGCATATTTGAGCAAAAAACTGTACACTACACATTTATTTTGGCAAAAAACTTGTTCGGCGTATTAGAAGAAACCCATAACATTATTCGTGCAATTTATAGTCATAGCTCTCACCGGTTTTCTAATAGTATCATTTTGAATGATGGTTAAAATCGTTGCTGTGGTTGGTCTCTGATCACGTTTTTCATCGGTCAGATTAAAATCTTGATCGTAATTATAATTTGTTGAAGATGACAATATTTCTTCTGAATCTATCTGACGTTCATTTTGTTCCGCTGTTGTATAACTATGTTTTTTATTAATAATAATACTCTACATTTTCTGTTAAATTCGTAATATGTTTATAATTAGTATTGGCATTACTAATGACGATTTCATGTTGTGTTAATTCTTTTAATTTTTCATTAATAACGTCCTCAAATATATTAATATGTTTAACCTGAAATATTTCATTTTGTTCATTATTTAAATCAATAAATTGTTGTAATACAACATCACTTGTTATTTCACTATCCAGTAAATAATTTAAGTGTTCTTGAATAAGAGATTTCATCTGTCAAGAAATGACTATAAGATGTAGAGTTTCAGAAATAGATAGATTTGTCATCTGATTCTATCGTTCTGAATGTTAGGTGCCTGTAATACGACTTTGTATCACTAGTTTTTTTCTTTTCATTTATACATCGTTGGACAGAGTGCATTGAGCTCGTTAAGAAATGCACCTTTTAATTTTTGAAATAATCTTTTTCATGGTAAAAAGTTTAAAAAGCTTGAAGGACGTAAAACTCGAAAAATCTTTTAAGATCTCGGCTTTCCATTGTTTTGCAGCTTTCGGATTCACCATTAAAAACCGAACATAAAAATGGTGTTCGATCAATTTCGAAGTTAAAAGCCTGTCCAGCATGGATGTCCCAAACTAGCCCTCTAAAGTGCCGGCATGCAATTTTACAAACCTATCTAGTTTTTTGTGTTCAGGGTTGAGGCCGTCATTTGCACGTCATTAGATTCGCTGAAAGTCCAGCTTTAAAAGTACTGCTTGCTTTTTGTAACATTTTGTTTTGTTGCTGATAAAAGTTCAGTAGAAGGCCGTTTTAAAAATGATTCAATTGTTGTTAAAATTTCTCTAATTACTCTCCCATCTTCTCATACACCGACCCAAAGTTGTTATAGCTGGTAACCAACTCCGGATGATTTGGACGGAGAGATTTCTGATAGATTTCAAAGGACTTTTCATGGAATGAAAGTGCTTACGAGTACTCTGTTGTGATATTAGGGTGACGAAAAAGTTCGTGCGCCGTGTTAAAATAATGATCTTTTACATTTTTTTTTTTGTGTTTTTCATCTAGTTTTGTGGCTATTATGAAAATTTATTGATTTTTTAAGATGTCAAGTGACTTTTCAACGAATGAAAGTGCTTTCGTGTACTCTCCCATCTTGTCATACACCGACCCGATGTTGTTATAGCTGGTAACCAAATTCGGATGGTTTGGAAGGAGAGATTTTTGTCTGATTTCAAGTAACTTTTCATGGAATGAAACT